GCCCCCTCAGCCCCTGGTTCGGGGAAGGAGTCTCTCGTGGACCAACCGAGGACCAGCTCCAGGCCTCTCACATCCCATCTGGCTTATCCAGGTTCCTGGGAAATTGCTCATGATGCCCCCTAAAGTGGCAATAAGGGATTGGCATGGGTTAGCAATGTCTAAGCATCTGCCTACCATTCTCATGAAGTAATGAATTGAAGGAATTTCTGTAACAGTATCTCAAATATATGATAGAATCACAAGATGTGTACAGTGAGCCCACCTAATGTGAGCCCTTTGCTTCACAAATTGAGGCCCTGAGCAGAGTCGACTTTTTTTCCTGGAGAAAGACAAGGGATCATAAAAACCATCTAGGGATAAGGCTTGAACACAGACACTCCTTGGTTTAATCATGAATCCCCCAATTGTAACATGGATCTGTGACATGAGAAGGTCCCTGAACCTCTCTGAGCAGATTCAATTTTCATTTTTTTTAAAGATTTTGTCAGAGAGAGAGAGAGAGCACAAGCAGGGGGAGTGGCAGACAGAGGGAGAAGCAGCTTCCCCACAGAGCAAGGAGCGTGATGTGGGACCCACTCTCAGGACCTTAAGATCATGACCTGAGCTGAAGGCAGGTGCTTGACTGAGGCACCCAGGCATCCCAATTTTCTCATTTTTATAATGGCAACTACCATAAAATATACAAAGGCACTACATCAAAAACTAATGATGTATTGTATGGTGACCAACGTAATACAATTAATACACACACACACACACACACACACACACACACACACACACAGGTATTACACCAATGGAAAATGAAAAGCACCAAGCACAGTGGGGCCTTGCAATGACTTTTCTTATCACTTTTGGTTTTTGCCGTGGACAGTCCTAATGTCTAGAAGGGAAGCTGAGAGTGAGACAGAGTGAAAGAGGCAAGGAGGGAAGGCACCCCAAGAATATGATCTCAGGGCTGAAAGGGATGTACTCAGATCTCCACTGGGAGCCCTCAGTATAATGAAATAGAGAAAGGAAATAACCTAAACAAACATCAGTATGGGAATACATTCATTAAGTTATGGCATAGTCATGGTACACCATGTTATTTTAATATTTTATACTATTATATCATCCTTAATTTCTTAAATGTTTTAAATATGCAGTCTAAATATTTACGTTATTTCTTGCTGTATAAAATTAAACCAAAATTATTAAAGGAGAAAAGCAATTTATATGATAGCTACAGCATGATGGAATTTATGTAATTATAAATACTCCTTAAAATAATTGTTTCATGTTTTATGTTCAATTTAAGTATCCCAAAAAGTACAAAATGACAATGAAGGGCTTAAGCCCACCAGCCAGCATGACTAAATTTGATATTGTGCCAAGCTTGCCCCAGTTTTATTAATAAAACAATGGAAATCACCTTGAAACCCCAGCATATTTGTATACAATCTCAATAGTGACCTTCCCTCTCAGAGGGTAAGCATGATACTGAATTTTGCATGTTATCATTCCCCTGAAATGTTTCACATGAGTAATAATGTAGCCATAAACATTCTATGCTTATGTTACATGCTCATATTTGTTATACATAGTACATTATTCAGTTCAGCAACTTTTTTTGGCTTTACATTATCTTCTATATTTATCAAGATTGACACAAGGAAGATCTGGTTTATTAATTTTAACATACATTCTCTCATCAGTGGGCATTTGGGTTAATTACAATTTTTTTCTATAGTAGAGATTTATCAGACATGTTCACATGTACTAATAGTGTTAAACTACCCATGGCAAATATCCACCAATTCCAGAGTGGTAACCTCTGGGAGGGGAGGAGGAGATATAGAGGATTTGTCCATGATGATATATAGTTATCCCGATCTGAAGGCAAATAAAGGCCTTTCTCTGTGGGATTTGGATCTGATACTCAGTTTAAAATATAATGGTAATATATAATGTGTATGTAATACTTTATTATTTTAAAAGAAAATATCTTAAGATAATACGGCCAAAATGTCAGCATTAATTCTGCAAAGTGATTGCATGGCTATTTATTTTACTGCTCACTGTGCTGTTCTGATGGCTTTAAATTTCTATATTTTCTTTGGGGATTTTGAGAGACTGGAAAGGTAGACTAATGGGTCTCAACCTCCTCTCTCAAGGTCCTTACAGATAAGAAGTAGGAACAAGACTTGAGTTCTCTGAGATAAAAGCTGGAACCAGATACAGGAAAATTGAGAAACCAAACTCAACCATCCTGGTCCCATTCACAGCCCCCCAAAATGAGGGAAACCAGAGACTTGTAGAATTATCTGTCCAATTTAAGATTTTATTTATTTGACAGACAGCAAGCACCAGCAGGAGGAATGGCAGAGGGAGAAGCAAGCTCCCCACTGAGCAGGGAGCCCGATGCGGGACTCAATCTCAGGACCCTGGGACCATGATCTGAGCCGAAGGCAGATGCATAACTGACTGAGCCACCCAGGCACCCCTATCTGTCCAATTTCTGGAGGGGCTAATTCATGTTCAGGTAGGGAAAGAGTCCCTGGAATTGAAAAGGCAGAGTAAGAGCGGGGAATGAAAGCTGACTGCAAATTCAATATAACAAACTTACCAAACTTCCTTACCTCTTGGATGTCCTCCAGATAGGCTGATTAAAAAAAAAACTGTTCAATTTCTCACAGCATTTATTAGGGCACATCAGATTACCTTGAAGTCACCAATGAGTAATTCACCTTTCCTCTAGGTATTGAAGGGTAGAGATGGGAAATCTGTCCCAGGAAGGGCAGAGGGACCAAGTAAGGCAATTGGGCTCCAGGGCAAGAGGGAGCATCTCAGGAGACTCAGGTGTGTTTCCTGACACGAACAGGTCTTTTAGAGGAATGGTCACAGTTAGACTCTGTAGTCTCTGTGGCCCTGGGAGCTCAATTTCCAAAGTTCCTCATTAGCCAAATATGTACTGTCGTTTCTTCCCCAAGGCATTTCAAATCCTTAAGGAGAACAGCTCATAGAAAGGACTCATGGAGGACCAGATTTCCTGACCCTGAGAGGACAGGTATACATCATTCTCGTCCCATGTTTCCTCTCACCTCCAGACAGGGCATCTCATTCTTGAATTTCTTCAGTCTGACCTTAAGAGAATTGATGAGCTTCTCATTAGACCAATTCCTAGTGTTCTCTGAGGCAGAGATTATCACTGGAAGAATAAGAGAAGCAAAGTGGTGTTTAAGTCCCCATAGGGAAGAGACTGGGGATGCAGGGCATGTATCATGGGAGCATCTCCACAGAGTCACTCTAAGAAATTTTTCTTTAAATAAATAAAGTCTCTTAATGAATGAGGTAAGTACTCTAATAGGAAAGAGTGCATGCAAAGAAACCAATTGACTGTTAGGGCAGGCTTTTGGAGGGTGCCTGAAAAAATCGACATCAAAACTAGCAATTTTAGAGATCACACACAAAAAAGCACTAACCAGAAATAAGCAGGTGATAAATTGCATTAACCTTGGGAAACGGGGATATACAGGACTCTGTACAAACTTTTCTAGTTAAGTGCAAAACTGGTTCAAAATGAGAAGTTTTTAAAAATTTAAAAATCAAAATATGGTCCTATAACACACATCAAAACTGCCAAAATGAAAAAGACAGTGTAAAATATTACCAAGAGAGCAGATATGCATATTGGAACTACTACTTTGTAAAACCGTTTGGTAGTGTTGAATAAACATGACCTTGTGTATTCCCTATTGACCCAGACCACACTCCTAAAATATAGACCCTACAAAAATACCTACAGCTGTGAACTAAAACATGTGCAAGAACGCTCATGGCAGAACTACTTATGACTATAGGGCTCCTGAGTGGCTCAGTCAGTTAAGCACGTACATTCAGCTGGGGTCATGATCTCAGGGTCCTGGGACAGAGCCCAACATCAGGCTCTCTGCTCAGCAGGGAGTCCGCTTCTCCCTCTCCCTTTGTCCCTCCCCCTGCTTGTATGCTCTCTCGCTCTCTCTCAAATAAATAAAATCCTAAAAAAAATACTCCAACTATAAACAACCCAAATGTCCAGAACAGTTTTATGAATTGTGCATATTCATAAAATGAAAGCTATATATCAATGAGAATAAAACTCTGCTAAAGGAAGAACATAGATGAAAGATGAATCTCACAAATAGAGTTGAGCAGAATCCAAATACAATGATAACATATCAGGTATAACAGTGCATGCAACTCTGTAAACATACTGAAAACCACTGAATTTTATACTTTGACATGTGAATGATATCTCAATAAAGCTGTTAAAAATGCATGATTCTAGGGGTACCTGGTCAGTTCAGTCAATGGAACATGTGACTCTTGATCTTGGGGTTGTGAGTTCGAGCCCCATATTGTGTGCAGAGATTACTTAAAAAGATTTTTTAAAAATGCATTGAATCCACAGAGTACACATGTTCTGGTGGCAAGAATTAGGGTGACTGAGTGAAAAGGAAGCACTGAAAGAGGATTCTAAGTGCTGAAAATGTTCTTTCTACTTCTTGACCAGTGTGTGTAATAGTTAATATAGGTAACCTCCATCCTGGTACCCCAGTAGCAATTCAATTTTTTAATTATCTAGATAAATTTCTAAAAACCTGACATAAGTTATATTGGTGACAGTCATTTGTGAATAAAACCTCCCTCCCAACACACACATACACACACACACACACACACACACACACTGTAAACATGGTGGCTTAAAACATTAGGTGTTTATTTTTCTCAAGTAACAAGTCTTGAAGACACTAAAAGTTTTTACTTTCAGCATCAAGTGGTCACATATCTAGGGGATGAATAAAGGATTTGTCACAGTCATAGCATAACTTATATTTCTCCCACAGACCTATATTATTCAGGGACTTTCTCCCATTGTTTACATCCGGTTCTCCTCTGCAGTTAGCATTTGCTTGTATGCCTTCAGGATTGAGAGTTCACTGAGAACTACTGCACATGGACATTTACTAGGAGTTTTATCCAGCATGAGTGCTCTCGTGATGCCGTCGAAGGGAGGAGAGCTTACTGAAAGCACGTCCACAGACACTGCATTGATAGGGCTTTTCACCAGTATGGACTCTTTTGTGCACAGTAAGATTACACCTTACGCTGAAGGTTTTCCCACATTGATCACACTCATAGGGTTTCTCTCCAGTGTGAGTTCTTATGTGTATTGTAAGGGACACATGTCTCCTAAAAGCCTTTTCACACTCATTACACTTGAAGGGTTTCTTTTCCCTCGTGTGCTTTTTCATGTGTCTCCTATGAGATAAGAGACCACCGAAGGCTTTCCCACACTCCTTACACTCATATTGTTTCATTTTCATGTGAATTTTCTTATGTAAAGTGAGAAAAGATTTCACTCTGAAGGCTTTCCCACACTGATTACATGCAAAGGGTTTCTCCCCAGTGTGAATTCTCACGTGTTCTTTAAGGCACGAGTGATCCCTGAAGGCTTTCCCGCAGTCATTGCAAGTACACGGTTTCTCTCCAGCATGCATTTTCTTGTGCACATTAAGATTACAGCTCATTCTAAAAGTCCTCCCACACTGATCACACTTGTAAGGTTTCTCTCCAGTATGTATCCGCAGGTGTGTCTTCAGGGCTGATGGACTACTTAATGCTTTTCCACAGTGGCTACACTCAATGGACTTCTCACCAGTGTGGACCCTCTTATGTCTTGTAAGGTATGAAAGAATACTGAAGGTTTTCCCACAATCATTGCAGGCATAGGGCTTCTCTTTGGTATGTATTATCTTGTGCATGGTAAGCCTAGAGCTTCTACCGAAGGTTTTGTTGCACTGATCACATTTGTAAGGTTTGTCCCTTGAATGAATTCCTTCATGTTGTCTAAGAAGTGAACTATCTCTGAAGGTTTTTCCACAGTCACGGCATTCATAGGGCTTCTCCCCAGTGTGAATTCTCTTGTGCCGTGTAAGATAAGAGCTTGAACTGTAGGCTTTCCCACACTGGTTACATTTAAAGGGTTTTTCTCCACTGTGGGTTCTCATGTGCAATGCAAAGGATGAGTGGTTCTGTAATACTTTACCACACTGGCTACACTGAAAATATTTCTCTCTAATGCAAGTTTTTTCATGCTTAATATATAAGATTGAACTTGAGACTTTCCTAGTGTCAGTGCATTTGTAGGATTTCTCTCTTGTATGTTGCTTCTTATGTACAGCTAAGAAAGAACTCCTGATGAAGTTATTTTTATCATTTTTACAGTCACTGGATTTTTCCCCCAAAAGAATGTTCTCATGTGGGTTAAGGTGTAAACAATCTCTGAGGGCTTTCCCGAGATGAAGGCACTGATGGGGATTCTCGTCAGGATGAATTCTCTGATTCTGAGTGATGCTAGATTTCATGCTCAAGGCAATTTTATTCTGTTCAATGGATCTTCCTCCATGAGTTTGCTCCTATTGGTTGAAGTAAGTTATGATCACAAGATTTATCACATTCATTATATTGATTGAGAATCTTTCCCCCAAAATCATAAATTCTGACATGTTTAAACTAGAGCTTACCTAACATTTTCTTAGTGAATATACAGTTCCTGTCTTGAGTTTATTAGCTTGAATAATATGAATCTTATACCACATTGCTCCCATCAGGGTCTCTTTATAGAGACATTTAACACATAAATGCTTTGGAGTGGATGTTTTCAATATTTAGTATCTAACTTCCATTATGAAAATATTTACTTTGGGGATTCTCAGCAACCATTTTTGGAGCTAATGGGTACATTTCCTTCAAATTCATGATATTTAGAGAATTTCCTGTTTTCTATTGGTAAAATGAGTGCCTCAAATTGCCCCCTTAGTATTACATGGAATTCTGGACTTCTAACAGAGAGCAAGAAATTCCCATGTGACTCTTACCTTCTTGCCACTGCGTGCTTCTTTCTCCAAAATATCTTGCTTATGTTGTGGTTGTTTGGTTTTAAGGAGAACCATCCCATCTGAACAAATTGGGGGAAAGTAAGTTTTTGTCAATATGCTGACAAAAGCAGGTAAAGCCCAAGCCCAATCTGACACAAACAGGAAACAACCTCGAGTATGAAATGGTGAGATAAGGACAAAAACTAAGATCCATGTGGATTTCTCTTCAAATTGACCCTAAACTTAGGAAGACAATGTGTTAGGAAGACAATGTGTAAGAAAAATGCATTCATGATCAAAAGAATGGTATTTACATGCTTTAGTGTTTTGTGTCATTTATTAAGGAATGGTTCTATCATGAATGAAAATTATGTTAATAAGCAAAGGTTATAGCTATACACACACACGCAAAACGGGAATAATTAGTGATTCTAGATGTAAATATTAAAGCATAAGCAGGTCTTTCTTTCAAAGCATAGGAAAAGTATGAAGGACATTAGGAGAAGGAAAGGAAAAATGAAGGGGGGGGAATCAGAGAGGGAGACAAACCATGAGAGACTATGGACTCCGGGAAACAAGAGGGTTTTAGAGGGGAGGGGAGTGGGGGGATGGGTTGGCCTGGTGATGGGTTATTTTTTTTTTAAGATTTTATTTATTTGAGAGAGAGAGAATGAGAGATAGAGAGCACGAGAGGGAAGAGGGTCAGAAGGAGAAGCAGACTCCCTGCTGAGCAGGGAGCCCAATGCGGGACTCGATCCCGGGACTCCAGGATCATGACCTGAGCCGAAGGCAGTCGCTTAACCAACTGAGCCACCCAGGCGCCCCCGGTGATGGGTATTAAGGAGGGCACATATTGCATGGAGCACTGGGTGTTATACGCAAACAATGAATCATGGAACACTGCATCAAAAACTAATGATGTGGGCGCCTGGGTGGCTCAGTTGGTTAAGCGACTGCCTTCGGCTCAGGTCACGATCCTGGAGTCCCGGGATCGAGTCCCACATCGGGCTCCCTGCTCAGCAGGGAGTCTGCTTCTCCCTCTGACCCTCTTCCCTCAGTGCTCTCTCTCTCTCATTCTCTCAAATAAATAAATAAAATCTTTAAAAATAAAAAACTAATGATGTACTATATGGTAACTAACATAACGTAATTAAAAAAAAAAACTATGAAATGATAGGTTAAAAGCCAAAGATTGGGAATTCTGAAAGTACATGAATAAGCTCATACCAAATGGTCTCTGCTTTCTACTCAAATTTAAAGGGTATTTTTTTAAGTTCCCTGTTTGACTTCTCATAATGTAGCTCTTCCTCACCCCCACCAGATGTGGTACAAAACATTTATATATGCCCATTGCTCACTTGAACAGGTATCTTGGTGATTTCCTGTCCCTGTTTTCATTTCATCTTCCTGTTTCATCTGGGTGATCACAGTGGGTTTGCTGAGCTGCTTTTCTACAATGGGGAACAATGCATGTGAGAGAACCATGTAGTGTACAACAAACTATCATCAAACTGTGGAAACTTTATCTTCGAGGTTCTGAAGAAAGACAAGTATGGCTTTAGGAGCAACAAAATGATTATGACAAATTTCTAACAGACGAAGCAAAAGTAAAAGCACTTGGGAGATCAGCTTTCAGAAGGATAGAATGAGGGCCCTGTTTAACTTATCTCCCCCACTAAAACAACAAATGATGGGCAAAACAGAATCAATCAATTCAGAACTCTAGAAACTCACCAAAGACACAGAACAAATGGAAAATTATCTATCCAAGAAAAATCACTGAACCTTGGAAAAAGAAAAGGGTCTTTGACAATTTAACTTCAGATTATTTCTATTCTTCTTCTCTCCATAGCTCTACGGCATAGTAGTCAAAAGTCAGCAGCCTTAGGGCGCCTGGGTGGCTCAGTTGGTTAAGCAACTGCCTTCGGCTCAGGTCATGATCCTGGAGTCCCGGGATCGAGTCCCACATCGGGCCCCTGCTCAGCAGGGAGTCTGCTTCTCCCTCTGACCCTCCTCCCTCTCGTGCTTTCTATCTCTCATTCTCTCTCTCTCTCTCAAATAAATAAATAAAATCTTTAAAAAAAAAAAAGAAAAAAAAAAAAAAAAAAAAAAAAAAAAAAAAAAAAGTCAGCAGCCTTGCAGTCAACAAAGAGACCTGAGCATTGTTAAAAGAACCAGCCCCAAAACAGTCAATATTTTCTAAAATACTTACATATTTAAAAAGTTACTGAGAAGAGTGATAATTTTTTTTACATGGTACACCTCATTAATGCATGGCTCAAAAGATTCCTGGATTCTCGTATCTACTTCTGCATAGTGTTTTCTGTTATTTTGAAGAAAATCTAGACTCACACAGATAAGTAGTTGAAAAGAAGAGGAACATATTAACAGTCTTTAAAAATCACTGTGGATATTCCTTGATAAAGCACGAAAACTCAACAAGTGGAGGTTTCTTTAGGTTAGTTGCAATGCAGAATCTGAAACTGTATCAGTAAGTCCTTTGTACTCTTACATTAAAATCCACTGTGTGTGTGTCTGTGTATAATCTATCATGAATATATGTATGATTATAGATATAGATACAGATATTATTAATCTAAGCTTGCAGCTTCCTAGAAAATCTATATGCTCAGGGTGTTGGGCTATTAGATTTTACTCAGGGCTCGGCTTAGCAGAAAAAAAAGCTCTTATCCCCAGGGTATAACCTTGGAGACTTTGAAAAGCTCCAATCAGTTCCTGGGGATCCAGAATTCTATGCATGAACAAGGCTATGCACATGCTCAGGAAAGAGGGTAAGTCCCAAGTCATCCAGATTTGGTTGACTTTTAGACCCTGCCCAAACAGGAAATGAAAAATAACCTGGTCTTGTAAGTTGCCTGAAGCTTAAAGGCATGACTTCTTACACAGGTCTACTTGGCAAGAGATGAAGAGACATAGGCAAGGCATTTAAGAAAATGCTACTAAGCATTGGACTGGCTAAGTTACAATGACCAGAAAACCAGACTTAAAAATTAAAATAAGCACTTTTACTTATTTTTTTTTTTAAGTAGGCTCTATGCTCAGTGTGGAGCCCAATACAGGGTCACCTGGTTGGCTCAGTTGGTGTAGCAAGTGACTCCTAATCTTGGGGTTATGAGTTTGAGGCCCACACTGGGTGTAGAGACTACTTAAAAATAAGTCTTTTAAAAAATTAAGAATAGGGGCACCTGGGTGGCTCAGTCGGTTAAGCATCTGCCTTCGGCTCAGGTCATGATCCCAGGGTCCTGGGATTGAGTCCTGCATCCGGCTCCCTGCTCCTTGGGAGCCTGCTTCTCCCTCTGCTTCTCTCTCTCTGTCTCTCTCCCCCTCTGTCGCTCATGAATAAATAAATAAAATCTTTAAAAAAAAAAGGAGTCTGCTTCTCCCTCTCCCTCTGCCCCTCCTCTCCCCCTGCTCCTGCTCTTTCCCTCTCTCAAATAAATAAAATCTTTTAAAAAATCAGTCAAGGGATTCACAAAATGAAAGGATGTAAAGTATGACAAAATATACATAAAATGTGGGGGAGGGTAAAAATTTAGTACTTTTAGAATGGGTTCAAACTTAAGAGACCAACCTAATATAGACTTGCTATATGCATAGGACATTATATATAAGCCTGAGTGGTAACCACAAGTCAAAAACGTATAATAGATACCCTTAAAAATAAAAAGAAAGGGATTCAAGCATATCACTAAAGAAAGCCACAAAATCACAAGGGAAGAGAGCAAGAGAAGAAAGGAACAGAGAAAAACTACAAAAGCAACCATAAAACAAGTAACAAAATGGCAATAAGTACATACCTATCAATAATAACTATGAATGTAAATAGACTAAATAGTCCAAAAGACAGAGTGACTGAATGGATTAAAAAAAAGGCAGGACCAGTCAAAAATTAATGATGTAATGTATGGTGATTAACAGAACATAATAAAATAGATAGATAGATAGATAGATAGATAGATAGATAGATAGATAGATAAAATTTTTTAAAAAGCAGGACCCATCTATATGCTGTCTTACAAGACAATCATTAAGACACATGTAGATTGAAAGTAAAGGGATGGGAAAACATTTACAATGCAAATGGAAGTGAAAGAAAGCTGAAGTAACAATACTTACATGAAACAAAATAAGACTTTATTTTTTTTTAATATTTTTTAAAGGTTTAAAGGAGTTTATTTTATTTTATTTTATTTAAGATTTTATTTATTTATTCATGAGAGACAGGGGGAGAGAGAGAGAAGCAGAGGGAGAAGCAGGCTCCCAAGCAGCAGGGAGCCCGATGCGGGACTCGATCCCACGACCCCGGGATCATGACCTGAGCCGAAGGCAGACGCTTAACCATCTGAGCCACCCAGGCGCCCACAAAATAAGACTTTAAAATAAAGATTGTAACAAGAGACAAGGACACTGTATCATCATAAAGGGAACAACCCAACAAGAAGACGTAACAATTGTAAATATTTATGCATCCAACTTGGGAGCACCCAAATACATAAAACTATAAAAAAAAAGAGGAAATCAATAGTAATACAATAACAGCAGGGGACTTTTAACACCTACTTATGTCAATGGATAGATCATCCAGACAAACAAGGAGCGTGCCTGGGTGGCTCAGTCAGTTAAGCATCTACTTTTGGCTCAGGTCATGATCCCAGTGTTCTGGGATTAAGTCCCATGGTGGGCTCCCTGCTCAGCAGGGAGTCTGCTTCTCTCTCTGACCCTCCCCCCTGCTCGTGCTTGCTCACTCTCTCTCACAGAAATAAAATATTTTTTAAAAATCAACAAGGAAACCATGGATCTGAATAACACACTGGACCAGATGCACCTTACAGATATTCAAAACATTCCATCCCAAAACAGCAGAAGACAACATATTTTTCAGTGCACACAAAACATTCTACAGAAGATTATCATATTGGGTCACAAGCTCACAAGTCTCAACAAATACAAAAAAACTGAAATCATATCATGCATCCTTTTTCAACCTCAGTGGTATAGAACTAGAAATAAACCACAAGAAAAAAATCTGGAAATAATACAAATACATGGAAGTTAAACAACATGCTAATAAACAAAGAATGGGTCAACCAGGAATTCAAAGTTTAAAAATACATGGAGACAAATAAAAATGAAATCACAATTGTCCAAAATCTTTTGGCATGCAGCAGAAACTTTTCTAAGAGGAAGATTATAGCAATACAGGTGTACCTCAAGAAGCATGAAAAGTCTCAAAATAAACAACCTAACCTTCCACCTAAAGGAGCTACAAAAAGAACAAAGCCCAAATCCAGTATAAGGAAGGAAATAATGAAGATTAGAAAATAAATGAAATTGAGATACTAAAAAACAATAGAACAGAATTGGTTCTTTGACAAGATCAACAAAATCAATATACCTTTAGCCACACTCATCAAAAGAGGGAGGACTCAAAATCATAAATGAAGGCAGTGAAATAGCAACCAACACCACAGAAATACAAAGCATTATAAGAGAATATTATAAAAAGTTATGTGCCAACAAATTGGACAACCTAGAAGAAATGGATAAATTCCTACAAACATATAACCTCCCAAAACTGAATCAGGAAGAAATGGAATTTTTGAACAGACCAATTACTAACAATGACATTGAATCAGTAAGACAAAACAAAACAAAAAACAAACTCCTAACAAACAAGTCCAGGACCAGATGCCTCACAGGTGAACTCTACCAAACATTTAAAGAAGAGTTAATACCTACTCATCTCTATTCCCCCAAAAAAAGAAGAAAGGAAAATTTCCAAATTCTTTCTACAAGGGGCTCCTGAGTGGCTCAGTTGGTTAAGCATCTGCCTTTGGCTCAGGTCATGATCCCAGTGTGTTGGCAAATGGTGTTGGCAAAACTGTACAGCAACATGCAAAAGGATGAAACTGGATCACTTTCTTACACCATACACAAAAATAAACTCAAATGGATTAAAGACCTAAATGTGAAACGTGAAACCATTAAATTCCTACAAGAAAACATAGGCAGTAATTTCTTCGACATTAGCTGTAGAATTCTAAATACAAGTCCTCTGGCAAGGGAAACAAAAACAACACTAAACTATTGGTACTACAACAAAATAAAAAGCTTTTGCACAGTAAAGGAAACAATCAACAAAAAACCTACTAAATGGGAGAAGGTATTTGCCAATAATGCATCCAATAAGGGGTTAATATTCAAAATATATGAAACTTATAAAACACCAAAAAAAAAGATATTCCAATTAAAAAGTGGGCAGAGGACATGAATAGACATTTTTCCGAAGACATCCAGATGGCCAACAGACACATGAACATAAACTGGTACAGCCATTGTGGAAAACAATATGGAGGTTCCTCAAAAATTTAAATTAGGATTACCATATGATCCAGTAATTCCACTACTGGGTATTTACCCAGAGAAAATGGTAACACTAATTCAAAAAGATATCTCCACCCCTGTTTATTGCAGCCTTATTTACAACAGTTTTGTGTCCATCCAACAGATGATTGTATAAATAAGATGTGGTACATATATACAATGGAATATTATTCAGCCATAAAAAAGAATGCCATTTGCAACAACATGGATAGATCTAGAGTATAACATTAAGTAATAGTCAGTCGGAGAAAACGACTGTATGATTTCACCCATATGTGGAATTTAAGAAACAAAACAAACCAACAAAGAAAAGACAAAACCAAAAAATTCTTAACTATAGAGAACAAACTACAGAGAACAAACCTCCTGAAAAAGGTGAAGGAGATTAAGCATACACTTACCTTGATGAGCACTAAGTAATGTATAAAACTGTTAAATCATTCTATTGTGCACCTGAGACTAATATAACACTGTATGTTAATTATACTTTAATTTAAAATTTTAATTAATTAAAAATACATTAACAAAAATAAAGACCTCAGGGCACCTGGGTGGCTCAGTCGTTAAGCGTCTGCCTTAGGCTTGGGTCATGATCCCAGGGTCCTGGGATCGAGCCCCACATCGGGCTCCCTGCTCAGTGGGAAGCCTGCTTCTCCCTCTCCCACTCCCCCTGCTTGTGTTCCCTCTCTCGCTGTGTCTCTCTGTCAAATAAATAAATAAAATCTTTAAAAATAATAATAAATAAAAAATAAAGACCTCTATGAATGAAAGGACATCCCATGTTCATAGACTGGAATAATTAATATTGCTAAGTTGGCAACACTCCCCAGATTGATCTACAGATTCAATGTGGCTTTTATCAAAATCCCACCTTAATTCTTTGCAGAAATTGATAAAGTTAGTCTAAAATTCATATGAAAATGCAAGGGATCCAGAATAGTCAAAACAATCTTGAAAAACAGAAACAAAGTTGGAAAATTCACACTTACCAATTCAAATCTTACTACAAAGCTACAACACTAATCAACAGTATGGTACTGGTGTAAGAATAGAAATATAAACCACTGGAATAGAAGTGGGAGTCCAGAAAATTGAAAAGCTGGATTAAAATTAAACTTTTATGCCACAAATGATACCACCGAGAAAGTGAAAAGGCAATACACAGAATGTAAGAAAATATTTGCAAATCATGTATCTGATAAGGGATCTGTATCCCGAATATAGAAAGAACATTCACCACTCGATAGAAAAAAAAATGGCAATCCAATTTTTAAGTGAGCAAAGAATATTTTTAAAGATTTATTTATTTTAGGGGTACCTGGATGGCTCAGCTGGTTAAGTGTCTGCCTTTGGCTCAGGTCATGATCCCAGGGTCCTAGGATCAAGCCCCATGTCCAGCCTCAGCAGGGAGCCTGCTTCTCTCTCCCTCTCCCACTCCCCACACTGCTTGTGTTCCCTCTCCAGCTGTCTCTGTCTCTGTCAAATAAATAAATGAAATCTTTTAAAAAAAATAAAGATTTTAAAGAGAGAAAGAGCATACATGAGTGGGGGGAGGGGCAGAGGAAGAGGGAGAGAATCTCAGACTCCCGGCTGAGCACAGAGCCCCCTTGAGATCAAGCCCTGAATCAAAATCGAAAGTTGGACCCTTAACTGAGCCAGCCAGGTTCCTCAAATGGGCAAAGGATTAAAATGGACATTTCTCCAAAGACATACAAATGCCCAGTAAGTACATGAAATGTTGCTCAACATCATTCATCATTAAGGAAATGCAAATCAAAACCACAATGAGATACCATTTTAAACATTAGGATAGCTATAAACAAAAAGACAGGCAGTATTAAGTGTTAGCAAGAATGTGGAGATGTTGGAACGTTTATCATTGCTGGAGAGAGTGTAAAATAATACAGCCAATTTGGAAAACTGTTTGGCAGTTCCTCAAAATGTTAAACATGAGTTACTAAATGGCCCAGCAATTCCACTCCAAGGCATAATACCCAAGATAAATGAAAACTTATGTCCACACAAAAACTTGTATGAATGCTTGTAGCAGTACTATTCATAGCAGCAAATGCCAAAAATACAAATGTCCATCAGCTAATGAATGGATAACCAAAATTGTATGTCTACACAACAGAATATTATCCAGCAATAAATAAGAATTAAGTACTGATAAATGCTACAACATGAATAAACCTAGAAAACATTATGCTATGTGAAAGAAATCAGTCACAATAGACCACATGTGGTATGATTCCATTCATATGAATATTCAGAACAGGCAAGTCTATAGAAACACAAAGTGTATCAGTTGTTGCCAGGGCCTAGAGACCAAGGAGGAATGAAATGCCCTGTAGGCAGGGCACTGAGAATGTTCTGGAATAAAAAAAAAAAAAAGACATACACAACAGATTGCTTTGTATTCTCTAAATGGCTAAACTATGGTAGGTGTATTATATCTTAATACAAGCTATTTTTCTTAAAAGTAAAAATCTACAAAACCTACAAGAAACTAATGGGAATATTCATGTTAACCACAAGGTAACTGGGGCTTATTTGCCCCAGAAATCCATGCTCAAACGCAGTAAATAAGGATTGTCAGCCTTACCCAGAGATGCCAAGTTTCTATAGTTCTCCAGCATCACATCTCTGTACAGTTTTCTCTGACGTGAATTCAATAACGCCCATTCCTCCTGGGTGAAGTCCATGGCCACATCCTCAAAGGTTATTGAGTTCTAAAATATCAACACATTCTGTATCATTCAGCAACCAACCCCACCAACATTCGTGGGAAGAGAGTCATGGTGACTTCACTGGGGATGAAAGACCTCTTTCATAGTAATTTCAAGATCCTTCAGTCCTGGGGGCGCCTGGGTGGCTCAGTCGTTAAGCGTCTGCCTTTGGCTCAGGTCATGATCCTAGAGTCCTGGGATCGAGCCCCGCATCGGGCTCCCTGCTTGGGGGGAAGCCTGCTTCTCCCTCTCCCACTCCCCCTGTTTGTGTTCCCTCTCTAGCTGTGTCTCTGTCAAATGACTAAATAAAATCTTTAAAAAAAGATCCTTCAGTCCACTCCCCTCTCACTCCTTAAGGATCTCATTCAGTTTCCCAGAATTTAAAGCATCTCTAACACACGATGAGATGAATCGCCCCACTTCTAGCCTGAGAGTTTTTACAGTCTTACTCTTTCTAACTCCAGGATCCAACACAGACCTGAACACAACACTGCGAGAAAAATGCTTGCTAAATAAATACATTCTCCCCCCACAGAATGACCGTATATTTTATAACCTTTTACTTTCCCTAACATCACTAAGTAGAAAAGATGCCCGAAAAAATGTGTAGGTAGTAGAATAGTGGAGTGATTTTGTTGGAAATCCCTGAACCGCCATCAGGTCTCAAGATAAAAAATGGGTTTTAAGGCTCCTGTGAAAATTAATAAAGGGAAACTGCACTGAAATGGAGCCAGTAGGTCAGCAGGGGGAGCTTTCGCCCCCCACCACCAGTGGTCCTTGCAGACCCAACCGGAAGAGACAGACCTTGCCAAGTCCTTACTTTAATAGCTACTACTCACTACCCCAGCAGGAGGAAGAAAGGTTTTCTCCTCCTTAGGCAACAACCCAGGGAATGCGAGACTGCCACAACTCAGCCAATGGAAAGCCACAAGACATTGAATTCCCAATTGATTCAATAGACATTCTGTTTCTAACAGCCTTCCAACTCCCTCCTTTCCTCTATGAAAGAGGTTCCTCTCCTTTGTTCTCCAGACTTGCCTACAGTTTGGCTGTAGCTTGCTTGCCCCAAATTGCAATTCTCTGCTATTCCCGAATAAACCCATTTCTGCTGGTAAAATCACTGTGACAAGTTTTATTTTTAAGGTTAACACTCTGTGCACTGTTGGCAGGAAAAACACTCACTCCAGGGCAGAAGTGTATTTTAGGAGAAAATTACCTGTAATGCAGAGTGGATGTTTTCCACCTTTGTGTTCCTCTTATGGATACCAGCATGGTCTAGAACAAGCAGAGATAGAGGACAAGGTGACATGACAGTCTAGGCACAGCCTAGAAATTGCCCAGTATCAACTGAGTCATCCATACATATACACACACCCACAAAGCATATTAGCCAGAGCAACCTGCCCTGCCCCCCAGCCCCTGAGCCAGAAAATAGGGTGCTTTGAGGAACGGATTTAGTCTCCATTTTCTTAGGCAGGGAAATCGAAACTCAGAATGGTAGAGTTGTGATCTTCCAACTTTATAAAACAAATGGATGGAATAATGAAGTGCCACCCCTAAACATTCTTCCCTCTCTCCCCACCATGCACCAATGCCTTTCCTCCAAAATCCCAAAGACCACTGACTCATACAGGAGCAAATGCTGGGGCTCCAAGGGTTTTGCAGAGTTCCACGCGATCTCCTCTCATGTTGGCCTCTCCTTCCCAGGCCTCCTCCATGGCTACTCGGCTTTCTCCTTCGGGGCCCACTCTAAGCGGGAAAGACCACTTAATTCTGATGAAGTGCATCTACCCTAGGAACTTACCCAATATAGCAGACAGATGTGTGGCTGCCATTTTGCAAGACTGTGAGTAAATATGCCCAGGATGCTCCTCTTCTTGCTTCTCTGGTCCACTGCAGGCCTGGCTCTGACATGAAGAATAACAAGAGAATTTGCAAGCTTTCTGTGTCTCCTTTGCACTGAGGACAATTCCATCATAGCCCATCTAGCATGTGTTCCTTTCAGATTCAAGCAGTCTTTTGATCCTGGGTCTTTGGTTTTCTTGCCATGGACAACCTCAAAGCAATCTGATAGGTATTCTTGATCTTCTTCGTCCCTAATGCAAATCTACCGTATTATCAAACCACCTTGCCCATCACTTATCAAAACTCCAATCTCCACTGCATTTCCCTGGTTTCTCATCTGCAATGGCACCAAGGCATAGACCTAACTCATTAAGTCTTTGGCATCTGACTCCCACTCTCTCTGCCTTGATTCAAGATGATTCTATGTTCTAGGGAGTAAGCTAGCAAACATCCATGACTTTCACATCTCAGTCACATACTTAGAACTTCTCATCCTAGACTCTTGCCCTCTCCAAGACAAAAGTCAGACCACCCTGCCCTGAACACAGTAGCTAGCTACACTCCCACCCTGTTCACTTTTGAATCTGTAGTGCACCTGCTCTCTTCCCTCAAAGAGGCGTCCAAGCTGTCCATCCTCCCATTATTTTGCTATTTATAATCCCTTATTCCCTTGGCACTACATATAAAATGCCATGGCCCATTATTTCAATAATGCATTTTCCAAAACCTCAAATTCCTCTCTCCCTGGCCTATTACAACACCTGCTCTGGATATTTTCAGCCATCTGTCCATCTCACCTGGGTGATTCCTACCTAACCAGTTATATGGGAAGCACTAAAAATTTGAGGCCATCTAATCTAAACAGGCCTTCAACACTAAAGGAAAAGCCCCACAAGCAATTTAATCCCTTAGTTATCCAAAGCTCTTTTCACAGTTTCTCCAGGACTTTTTGACTCACATGGTCTCAACTTTACCTCTTCAACAATAAATGATCTCACACCTTACTTCACAAAGAAACAGTAACAATGATGAGGATTTTTCAAAACAAAACAAAACAAAAGAGAGAGAGAGAAAAAAAAGGATTTTTCCTCTCCTTGCCACTAGTTCAAATGTAGTATGACACCATCATAGTTTCTTTCTTCTTTCACTTTGCTATCAAGGAAGTGTCTTCCCACTGTTTTGTTTTGTTTTGCTTTTTAGATTTTTATCTTCAAGTAATCTCTACAACCAATGGGGGGCTCTAACTCAACCCTGAGATCAAGAGTCACACGCTCGTCCCACTGAGCCAGCCAGGTGCCCCTCTTCCTTCTTATCTAAAGCCAGGATTTTTTGACTGCTATGGCAAGGTTTCCCATTCTTGGCACTACTGACATTTGGGACTGGGTACATCTTTGTTATGGGGGCACCCATATGCTTTGCAGCATCTCTGGACTCTACCCAGTAGATGTCAGTAGTATCCTCTCCAGTTGCAAAATTAAAACTGTCCCCAGATATTGCTAAGTGTCCCCTTGGGGGCAAAATTAAGAACCACTGGTCTAATCCCTTCATATCTTCTCTCGGAAGACATCTATTATTATTCCTTGGTTCTTCTTTTCCATCACCACTGTAAGCACAGAGTTAAGGGTCCCCAGAAAAAGTGAGACATAGCTTTCTTGACATTAAAAAAAAAAAAAAAAAGTCTCATTTTAGGCCACATGTCACCTTGTGATCTGTGCCTGACCAGGACTACTTGCCCAAAGCACATTCTTGAGTTATCTTTGCTGGATTTAAATCCAGTTTGATCACTCAAAACACCAGACAAACCAGGCAAGCCTGAGAACTGACAGATGTTGACCCTTACCAGCCTGGTGACTTCCATCAACTAAGACCTGGACTCTGTCACCTTAAAATGACTTTTCCCAATTCCAGGCTGAATTCCCCATTGCACAAGCGCCTTCATGTATGTGTATGCACCCTTAGCTTAAAATTCCCCAGTTTTGTTGCTGGAGACAACACCACTTTGGGAAATATCCCCCCCCCCCCGAGTTCTCCATTATTTGTTGTAAGTAAAACCCTTCCTTTTCCTCTTCTTTGGTTTAATTGCGTCCGTTAACCCAACACCCACCACAAGGTGAATGCAGTTTTGGGGGAACACCACCAGCTTCTACTTCATTGTACTCATACCTTTAATACTTAAACATAACATAAACATAATAAATCTCTCTCATATTGGAACAAATTTATGCCTCATGTCCCACTTGTCCTTCTGGTTACTGCTCACTCTTCTTCACCACCAAGCTTCTCGAGAGAGTAGTCTACCCTCACACTGTCCCTATTTCCTCACCTCCCTTCATATACTCCAGCAAGGCTTCCAGGCCACCACCCCCCTTCACCGTGCCAAGATTGCCAAGGATTTGAGAGAATTAATGAGAGTTAATCCAGTAAATGCACTTCTGTCTTTGACTAAGTTGGTCCCTCAGAGAAATTCTATCACTACTCTCTTAAGTTATTCTCTTCCCTGGGCTTTTGTGACCACATCTTACTGCTCTGGCTACTCTCATCTTGGCAAGCTTTTCTCCCATTGCTGACTGTCCTCCAGGATCAGTCTTGGCCCTATTTCTTGCCTCATTCTGTGCCTTCTCTACCTATACATTCCCTTGAACTTAATTTTCATCTCTATGCTGGTAACACCCAAACCTCCAGTTAGGGATCAGATTTATGATTAAGACCCATATCGTGGGGTGCCTAAGTGGCTCAGTCGGTTAAGTGTCTGCCTTCGGCTCAGGTCATGATCTCAGGGTCGTGGGATTGAGTCCCGCGTCGGGCTCCCTGCTCAGCGGGAAGCCTGCTTCTCCCTCTGTCCTTCCCCCTGTTCGTGCTCTCTCTCTCCCTCTGACGAATAAATAAATCTTTAAAAAAACCATATCCTGCTGCTTTTCAACTACTTGTCATCTAAAATTTTCATAGATTCCCCTAATGAAACTTAAAAACTGAACTTATCTCTTCCAAAAATAAATTGTTTTACTTCAAACATTTGCATTCTTGGTAAGGCATAGGAGTTCCCTGGCTATTCAAAATAGGCAGAAAGGATTATTGGTACCCCACCCTTCGTCCCACCCCACAGCTATAATTAATTGAAACAAGATTAACCATTTGACAAGGGTTTCTGGCCTCCTAGGGGCTGGAATCAAAACCGAACAGAATCCTTGATTCCTCTCCCTCAGGCCACAACAGCCAATTGAAAACTTAAAATATAGGCACACGCTCTCCCCCACCCCCAGACGGCAGCCACAATCACTTGAAATCTAAAACTATTCTCTGATGGGGTCCTCCACCCTACCACATAGCAAAAATTGACTGAAATTCATACCAATCCAAACTATTTCTCTCTCTCTCAACACCCAAATCCTATCATTTAATGGTGCCTTCTCCAGAGAAAAATCTCCCCAACTACTGAACTCTGCCCCCATCCCCTGCCTCACATGGATAATTCTTCCTGTTTTTTTGGTCTCTTTGATGTCACTTTCTTGGAATCCCCTTTATCGTGAGCCCCAAATCCAATATAAACCTAGTTTCCTCTTACTGCCTAAGAGCCCTTATTCCTCCTATGTAGCCTTCTTCACAATTTGTAATATGTATTTAGTTCTTTGCTTGCTTACATTCTTTCTCTTCCCCTAGACTATAATGTTCAAAAGTACAAGAGGGGCCTTTTCTTAGTAACACTGTACCCTGTCATTGGAACATCTCTGGCCACATCAAGTGCCCAGAATTCCAGGTGAAGAAATGGGGCACCTGGGTGGCTCAGTTGGTTGGGCGACTGCCTTCGGCTCGGGTCATGATCCTGGAGTCCCGGGATCGGGTCCCGCATCGGGCTCCCTGCTCAGCGGGGAGTCTGCTTCTCCCTCTGACCCTCTAAGATCCCTCTCGTGCTCTCTATCTCTCATTCTCTCTCTCTCAAATAAATAAATAAAATCTTAAAAAAAAAAAAAAAAGAAATGAGTCTCCAAAGAATCCATTCCACCTTCCATCTGTCCCCGACATCCTCGCTCATTCCACTTTGAAACCAAGAGTCTGGGGGCGCCTGGGTGGCTCAGGTTAAGCGTCTGCCTTCAGCTCCGGTCATGATCTCAGGGTCCTGGGATGAGTCCTGCATTGAGTCTGCTTCTCCCTCTCCCTCCGCCGCTCCCCCTGCTTGTGCTCATGCACTCTTTCTCTCTCCCCCCAAAATAAATAAAATCATTTAAAAAAAAATGAAACCAAGAGTCTAGAGTGCCATCATCCATTCCTAAACCCCACTACTAATCCTTAACCTTGTCTCCATTCCCTCAAGCTTGTCCTTCCTGCCCTCCAACCTCACTATGCATCCAGCTCTTCTAAGCTAAACCAATCTAACTGTGGGCCACCCCAACTCACAATGGCTTCCCACCAGCCTTAGAATCAAATCTTTATCTAGGTTCAAAGATCTTACCATCCAGCTCACCTTCCTCCTCTCTTGCTTTGTTTTCAGCCCTGTCCTGTCTTGCTCAGTTCCCAGAACACTGAGCTCTTTGCTGCCCCGGAGTTCTGCAATGGGCAGAGCCATCCTGCTAAAATGCTCTCCCCATGGGCACCTGGGTGGCTCAGTTGGTTGGGCAACTGCCTTCGGCTCAGGTCATGCATGATCCTGGAGTCCCAGGATCGAGTCCCACATCGGGCTCCCTGCTCAGCAGGGAGTCTGCTTCTCCCTCTGACCCTCTTCCCTCTCGTGCTCTCTCTCATTCTCTTTCTCTCTCAAATAAATAAACAAAATCTTTAAAAAAAAATGCTCTCCCCATGCCTGGCCCCACCACAGCCCAGCTAAATGCCTAGTTGTACTCTAGTGTGGTGCCTAAATGGGGTATCTTGATCAGATGGGGGCCCCCCAAATATGGGGGACGATCGGGCAGAAGTCGATGGCATGGGTGGTGAAAGGATTCACCAGATGCAGAACAAAGGAGATAGAAGCTTACTGAATACACTGCAAGGCAGCAGGAGGAGGGCAGCAGAGGAGAGACTGTCCAATGAGGCAGTGGGTGAGGACTGTTTTTAAATGGGGGAGATGGGGCGCCTGGGTGGCTCAACTGGTTGAGCATCCAACTCTTGATTTCAGTTCACGTCATGGTCTCAGGGTCCTGAGATTGAGCCCCACATCTGGCTCTGTGCTCGGCTCTAACCCTGCTTCAGCTTCTCTCTCTCCCTCTACCTCTGCCTCTCCCGCCCCCCTCTCTGAAAAAAATCTTTGTGGGGCACCTGGGTGGCTCAGTCGGTTAAGCATCTGCCTTCAGCTCAGGTCATGATGCCAGGAGTCCCACACAGGGCTCCCTGCTCAGTGGGGAGCCTGCTTCTCTCTCTCTGCCCCTCCCCCCACTCATGCTTTTTCTCTCTCAAGTAAATAAATAAAATCTTAAAAAGAGCAAACATTCTGTAAATTAAAAATTCTCTTACAAAATGAAGGGAAGAGGGGAACCCCCTGCCACAATTACTCACCAAGACACACAGAAATCCGTAGGTCAGCGAGGTCAGAGTTTGAGCCAGGAGGCTATTCACATATTTCCGAGCTACAGGATGCTTTTGGTCTGGAGAAACACACAAGGTCACTGACTTTTATCTAGCAATGCGATTGAAAGGACAAAGGGATTAAAAGACACACCCTGGTCTCCTCAATTAGACTTACATCGTGCACTTTGTATCGGATTATTGATAACCCAAAATACGCCCTGATGACCTTAATTCCACTTACCTGGTATTTCCTGAATATCCAGAAAGAAAAAGGACTCAGAAATCTCAACAGGGTGATTCACTGCCTATTAAAGTCCAAATTGCAGCATCTATTTGCAGGGTATTTTATAATTCATTCATTCATTCATTCACTGAATAAATATTTATTGGTGCCTACTCTGTACCATGCACGATTCTAAATATCAGGAATGTAGAAGAAACAACACACATACAGAAAAATCAAGTAAGGAAGATGACAAATGTTAGAAAAGAAGTAAATGGTAAAGGGATAGTGAGTGATTGGTGTGGGTGAAGACAGGATCTCTTTTTTTCCCTAATTAGCAACTGTGGGTTTTTGGTTTTCGGGTTTTTTTTAATAAGGGATACTTGATGCAACACAGGCACCCTTTGAGGAGCTAATGTTCCAGCTGAGACCTTGACAAGACTGATCAAATTTTCTGCTTGACATAATTTAGGCTAAATTGACGGAGACAGCTGGGCCCTAAATTTTATGTGACCTTCCCCCACTATAACTTGTTTGCTCCACATCAGGTCCAGATTCCCACCCTCCCCCTATATGTCTGCAACACGTGAACATTCCTGCCTCATCTTTCCTGTTAGTACAATATTTAATGCAGGCTGTTGAGTTTCAAGATACATCCCTCTTTCCCTTTCCCCAGCTACCAGCCTCTGCATATTAAAGCTTTGTTCACCCACCCCTCCCCTATTCTGCCATACACTTTGCAGATCTTCCTGTTGCAAGAGTCCCCCTTAAGAAAGTCTTCCCTTACTAATTTCGAAGTGCCCTTTAAAAAGAAATTCACCGGGGCGCCTGAGTGGCTCAGTTGGTTAAGCGACTGCCTTCGGCTCAGGTCATGATCCTGGAGTCCCGGGATCGAGTCCCGCATCGGGCTCCCTGCTCACCAGGGAGTCTGCTTCTCCCTCTGACCCTCCCCCCGTCTCATGTGCTTTCTCTCTCATTCTCTCTGTCTCTCAAATAAATAAATAAAGTCTTTGAAAAAAAAAATAAATAAAATAAATAAATAAAAAGAAATTCACCAACATGAATTACAGGCGCCAACTATTGGAACACCTGGGAGAAGACATTTCCAAAGAGAAATGCCAGTACCGAGGTCTCCAGGCATGAACAAGTTTGGAGAGTTGGCAGAAGAGAGACTCCCTCTCCGTGGGGAGCCAAGTCCCCTCTGCCCAGCTGACCACTCAGTCTCCTTCCAACTCTGCCTTCAATGACTGCCCATTAGTGGAGTGAAATCATGGTGGGAGAATTTACACTACAGAAACCTGCCAGTGCCACAAATCAGAACCTTTTACCAACTTCTCAGCAAACCATTGCCTCTAATCCCTGGTCTCTTCATTTCTATTATGGGTATAATAATGGCACCTACCTCATAGGTTGAGACAATTTCTTGGCTCATACCAGTAATACTTATTCAGCTCTTATTTGGGTCATGGTGAGCAAAAACTGACAACTCCTTGTTTTCTTGGAGCTGTAGCTTACAGCACGAAGAGGGCTTTATTTGAACCATGGCCAGGATCCTGCATCTCAGTACAGTTGTAGATGAGTGCCATCAATGACTAGCCATGGTGCAGGAGAGCCCCAAATCAAGAACCCTTTCCCAGGACCAGAGTCAGAGCAGACCTACTTGAGCAGGTGCTGCTAAGGCAAAAATCCGGAAGCTGTAGAGATGCAATCATTAGTGTTTCCAAAATAGAATGCAGAGAGCATTTTAAATACTACATATTTTCATACATATAAGAAAATATATTGCCAACACACACACAAAAAACATTGGCTTAGAAAAAAAATTGCTTAGGATTGTGGTGAGTCAAACTTTGCCAATTAAGAGTTGCCTTCAAGTCAATGAGAGTATTGGCAACAACCATGAAGACAATCAGGAATGACTGGGGTTTGGCAAACTGCCTCCTGGAGGGGTACCTCGGTGGCTCAGTCGTTAAGCGTCTCAGGTCATGATCCCAGGGTCCTGGGATTGAGCCCCTCGCCAGGCTTCCAGCTCAGCAGGGAGTCTGCTTCTCCCTCTCCCTCTGCCCCTCCCCCGACTTGTGCACACGTGCTCTCTCTCTCTCTCAAATATAATCTTTAAAAGAGAGAGAACAATTTGGCTAATGAGGAGCTTTGGAAATGAGGCCTCTAGGGACAGAAAAAATGTGAATAGACTGCCTGTCCCCTATCAACACAATGTCACACCTACCAGACCAGGAAGGAAGACACTGTGTCACTTCTTAGAGAATGTGTCTTGTCCAGAAACTCCACACAAGACCGTCTCCTTGAAATTGCCAAAGTCCAATTTGTCTTCAACATCCACATCCTGGGGAGAAACTCAACACCTGTGGCCTTCTGTGGGCCCAACCTGGAGATACAGAAATCCCTTGTAAGTTCTGGAGAAAAGGAGTAATTTACTACTATTATTATTATTATTATTATTATTATTATTATTCCCATGTAGGGGTAGTCTTAGGTTAATTAAGTAGGAAGTCTAAAGCAGTGGTTCTTAAAATGTCCCCAGACCAGCAGCCTGGGCTGGGTTAATATGTGTACAACATGGACAGTCGCAGAGAACCCCACTCTTGGTTTAATGCTTTGCTGTCACTGTCTTGAAATTTTTGAACTGGGGGCCCCATATTTTCATTTTGCCCCAGGACCTGAAAATGATGCAGCTGGTTTCACCTGAAGTATCATTCCCTGGGGTGTTCTTTGAAATACACTTTTCTCGGTCTTCACCTAGACATGCTGAAACTCTGGGGTGGCACCCACCAAACCAGTTTTTAAGAACCCCTTCAGGTGAGTCTGATGCATGGTCAGATTGAGAAGAGCTGTCTAAAGGCACTCCCGATTTTTCATGAACTATTTGGCATATTTCCAAGTCCCCTGGCCCTAGATTCACAATTGCTCCTGATTCTGCTGACATCTTTTTCTCACCTAAGTTGGCAAGGACTGATTCCCTACTCAAATGAATCAGTACTTTCTAAACTTCTCTAAGGATTCCAGGCTGCTCCGATGTACCACTTTATTTCCCAGGTAGAACAGGAGGGGACCTCTCTGCTCTAGCCTCACCTTGCTAGTTTTAAATCCAATCCTTTGAGGGAAGCACTGAAATTCAAGGGAAGGAGACCAGTCTCCCCAGGCGACTTGCCCCTTCATGTAGTCAAGGCTCCTAGTAGAATTTTCAAAATGATCTTCCCTCACAACTCACGGGTGTTGCCCCATAGCTGTTCTCTCTCTCCTCCTCCTCCTCCTCCTCCTCCTCCTTTATCTTCTTTTCCTTTTCCCCTACACCCTCCAATACATGCCACTCAAAGTGAGGAATCATGTCAAGATCTTCTCAAGTTCCAGTGATAGTAATATAAATAATATGAGCAAATGAATAAACATTCTGCCGTGTGCTTTGCTTTTTCTTTCTCATGTGCATTCCTGGAATGTAGATACTATATTCTCATTTCTATTACCCACATAAGAAACAAAAGCTCTGGATGCCTGGGTGGCTCAGTCGGTTAAGCATCTGCCTTTGGCTCAGGTCATGATCCCACGGTCCTGGGATTGAGTCCCGCATCCAGGCTCCTTGCTGAGCAGGGAGTCTGTTTCTCCCTCTGCCTGCCGCTCCCCCTGCTTGTGCTTTCTCTCTGTCTCTCTGACAAATAAATAAATAAAATCTTAAAAAAACTCAAGCATGTTCATGGGTTTCCTTCATTGGCTTTGATTGGATTGAATCCAACAGATGGGCTCATTCTATACCATGCTTTAGAAACTTCTACAGCAACAGTTTTCCAAGTGTGGTCCCCCACTCCACCCAGCTGTATCAGCATCACCTTGGAATTTATTAGAAATGCAAATACTAGGACCCCACCCCAGACCTAGTCAACTGGAAATTCTTGGGTAGGAAACAGAGAACTGTGTGGGTTTTTTTTAATTGAAGTATAGTCAACCTACAATATTACATTGGTTTCAGGTGTATGACATAGTGATTTGACAATTACATACATTAAAAAATGCTCACCATGGTAAATACAGTCACCATCTTTCATCATGCAAAGTTATTACAATATTATTGACTATAATCCCTATACTGTACTTCTCATCCTCGTGACTTACTTCTTTTATAAATGGAAGTTTGTACTTCGTAATCCCCTTTGCCTATTTCTTTTTTTTAAAATATTTATTTATTTAGAGACAGTGCATGCGAGTGTGGGGAGGGGCAGAGGGAAAGGGAGAGAGAGAATTGCAAGCAGACTCCCTGCTGAGTGCAGAGCCTGACTCAGGCTCAATCCATGACCCTGAGATCATAACCTGAGCCAAAACCAAGAGTTGGATGCTTAACTGACTGCACCACCCATGCACTCCTCCCCTTTGCCTATTTCATCCACCTGCCGGGGCTGTGTTCCCCAAGAACATCCATGAAGTGTGAGAAATGAGGGGCAATTGATTTCTTTTTTTTTTTTTTTAAAGATTTTATTTATTTATTTGAGAGAGAGAGAATGAGAGCCAGAGAGCACGAGAGGGAAGAGGGTCAGAGGGAGAAGCAGACTCCCCGCTGAGCAGGGAGCCCGATGTGGGACTCGATCCCAGGACTCCAGGATCACGACCCGAGCCGAAGGCAGTCGCCCAACCAACTGAGCCACCCAGGCGCCCGCAATTGATTTCTCAAAGCACCATGAAGGACAGGAGCATAATAAAGCAAATCAGAAAAAAGTTTCTTCAACACTTTTTATTAATTTATTTTTAATCATAGTAATTTAATTATTTAATCATAGTCAAATACACAGGACATAAAAAATACCATTTTAACCATTTTTCAGTGTCCAATTCAGTAGTGTTAAGTACATCCACATTGTTGTACAGCCATCCCCACCATCCATTTCCAGAAATTCTTTTAACTTGCAAAACTGAAACTCTGTCCCCCTTAAACACTAACTCTCCATCCCCTTCTCCCAGCTCCATCACCCATAATTCCACTTTCTGTCTCTGTAAATGTGACTCCTCTGGGAACCTCATAGAAGTGGAATCCTATAGTATTTATCTTTCTGAGACTGGCTTATTTCACTTAACATAATGTCCTCAAGGTTCATCCATGTTGTAGCAGGTATCAGAATGTCATCTCTTTCTGACCCTGAATAGTATTTAATATTTCATTGTATAGATACACCACATTTTGTTTATCCATTCATTTGTCAGTGGACACTTGGATTGCTCCCATATTTTGGCTATTGTGAATAATGCTCCTATGAACGTGGGTAAACAAATATATCTTTGAGACCCTCATTTCAATTCTTTTGAGAATATACTCAGATGAGGAATTGCTGAATCATATGGCAATTCTATTTTTAATATTTTTATGAAACCCTTCAACATTTTAACACAAAATAATTATAAAGACTCCTTCTCTTTCGTGAATTTTAAAATTTTCCAAATGTATAACCTCCATTCATGTTTCTGCAATAGTGACTATTGAGAAAGGTAACAGTCTGTGTGTCAGGAAATCGAGGGGAAAGGGAATATCCTAAACCAAGCTCAACATTTTCTCTTCTGTAAAGACTACTACATTGCTCCTTGGCCTTTTGGCTAAGATCAAGTGTAAAGATTAGTATAATCACTATACTGTTATTAATCAGAGTAGTAACAACAGCAATAATTATAGCCAATATGTCTAGACTATTCACTATGTCCCTAGCACTGAGATCTTTTCTTGTTTAATGCACATACCATCTTATTCATTTGAAGGATATAAATGTCCTTTGAACTATGCTCAACTTCTCTCTTTCATGAATAAACTAACGTCCTCCCACCCTTGCTTTATAAACCATCCTGTGGATTGCGATTCTATCAAGTGGCCTGGATGTTAGCATTGGCTGGTTGGACAGTTCTCTCCCCCACTTAGGCAGGAAGGGGGCCAAGGAAAAAAATGCTCACTTACACATTTTGTTCTCTCAAGACTCCATGCATTCCATCCTCCCTCTACTTCTGCTATGAATATGTATCCTTCCTAAGATAGTTTGGTTTTGGTTAAAGCAGGAAATGATACATTTTTATCAATAATGTATTTGCATACCAGCTCCTAGAATTATTCACTTTTCAAGATTTCTTGACTCAACCATGATGTGGAGTGTCACTTTTATGAGGTGGCAATTGCTGAGAGTACATCATCCCATATGTAATTATTACAGGGGCCAGATAATGAAGGAACTTGAATGCCACTGAGGACTTTGTAGTTTCATGGGTAGAATGCCATTGAAGTATCCTACAAGGATGTACTGGACCCGTGCTGGCACCCATGGGAAGACTGCTCTGTAAAGATGCACAAAATCAATGCACTAAAGAGTACTTGAAAGGTGGGGGATAATTACAAAATCATTGCTATTTGGACATATCCTAGAGGGTGGCTATTAAGAAAAAGTCGGTCGGGCACCTGGGTGGCTCAGTTGGTTAAGTGACTGCCTTTGGCTCAGGTCATGATCCTGGAGTCCTGGGATCGAGTCCCACATCAGGTTCCCTGCTCCACAGGGAGCCTGCTTCTCCCTCTGACCCTCCTACCTCTCATGTTCTCTGTCTCTCATTCTTTCTCTCTCAAATAAATAAATAAAATCTTAAAAAAAAGAAAAAAGAAATAATCAGTCAAAAAAATATGCTATATGGGCACCTGGTGGAGCATGCAACCTTTGATCTTGGGTTTGTGGATTTGAACCCCACATTGGGAGTAGAGATTACTTTAAAATAAAATCTTTTTTAAAAAAGAAATATGCTATAAAATCACTTTCTCAGTTTCTAGACATGGCCCATATATCTGGCTATAAGCTTACAAGCAAAAAGAAAGAAAGAAAGAAAGAAAGAAAGAAAGAAAGAAAGAAAGAAAGAAAGAAAGAAAGAAAGAAAGAAAGAAAGAAAGAAAGAGAGGAAGGAAGGAAGAAAGAAAGAGAGGAAGGAAGGAAGGAAGGAAGGAAGAGACAGAGGGAGGGAGAGAGGGAGAAAAGAGAAAAGAAAAAAATGTGATTATTAGAGAAAATAACCAGTTGTTCATAAAAAGCATTAGCTGTTCTTGTTTTAAGGAACAGACAAGAATTTCCCCTCTGGATGTGACATTTCTTCAACAGACACAAGAGAGAGACTCATTCAGCCTTTTCTTAGAATGTCTCTCATTCACTGTAGGCTGATGACAAATGACAAATCACAAGTCCGGCAAAAGCAATTCCTTTGAAACGCAGGTCCTAATAGAATGATTTGATGTAATTGTAAGATACAGAATATTTAAAGAAATGAGTTAATAGTGTTTTTCTCACATGGAGGCAGTAGAAAATGTCAGATGATAATTTCCAGGATTACCTGAGATTTGTAATTATGAGCAGACCCAGTACAGAGTTAACTACACAATTAAAATTTTCTGAGAAAGTAAAGTCATCTAACAAAGTTTAATAGTTTGAAGAAACTACCAGAATTTAACCCTAGATTTTAAAATGGCATGGAGGCATGAGAGTTCTTAAAAATAAATAAATAAATAAATAAATAAATAAATAAATAAATAAAACAGCACTTGTTTTCATTCTTAATTTTAGCATTAGAAAAATGAGTGATACATAGAAGTCACTCAAAATTTACTTGGAGTAAAGGAATCTGATGGGAAGAATTGTGTAAATATTACAAGATTTTAAAGCAAAAGATAAAAGACTTCTTTCCAACAAGGGATGTCTGTGTGTCTGTTTCACTGTAACTAACTCACGGTCTCTAACTCAGCAGACACATCAACAACATGGAATCCGAAAACCAGACAGAAGAAATGTATAACCAGACAGGTTATACATTTGGAAAAATCATCCTCCTGGGTCTCTCAGAGGATCCAGAATGGCTGCCTCTTCTCTTTGGGCTGTTCCTGACCCTGTACCTGGTCACCGTGCTGGGGAACCTGCTCAACATCCTGGCAGTCAGGTCTGACTCCTACCTCCACACCCCCATGTACTTCTTCCTCTTCAACCTGTCCTTTGTAGACATCTGTTTCAGCACCACTATAGTCCCCAAGATGCTGGTGAACATCCAGACAGAGAGCAAAGCCATCACCTATGCAGCCTGCCTCACTCAGGTATATTTTTTCATGGTTTTTCTATGTATGGACAATTTCCTGCTAATGGTGATGGCTTATGACCACCATGTGGCCATCTGCCATCCTCTGTATTACGTGGTCATCATGAACCCCCACCTCTGTGGCCTGCTGCTTCCTCTCTCCTTGCTCATTAGCATTAAGAACGCCCTGCTCCACAGTCTGATGGTGTTGCAACTGTCCTACACAGATGAAAATCTCCCACTTCTGTGAGCTTGCTCAGATCCTCAAACTTGCCTGTTCTGATACTCATCAATAACATTCTGGTGTATTTAGTGACCAGCCTGCTGGGGGTTGGTCTACTCTCAGGGATAATTTTCTCTTACACTCGAATTTTCTTCTCCATCCTGAGAATCCCATCAACTGGTAGAACGTTCAAAGCCTTTTCCACCTGTGGGTCTCACCTGTCCGTTGTTTTCTTATTCTATGGGACTTATGTTGAAGTCTACCTTAGCTCAGCAGCTTCTCTTTCCTCCAGGAGGAGAGCAGTAGCCTCAGTAATGTACACGGTGGTCACTCCCATGATTAACCCCTTCATCTACAGCCTACGGAACAGGGACATGAAGTGAGCCTTGAGGAAACTCATCTCTGGAACACCTTCCTTTTCAGGATTCTGTCGTCTGCCTTGGGTCTAGGCTTCTGCAATGACTGAAAGGGAATGAAATACTGGGTATACTAGAAATCCTGACTCCTCCCTAATTCATGTCTAAGAAAGTGGTTAATCATGGCTTTCAAGTCAAATAGCTTTTGTATTAAGTCCTACTGTCCTGTGTTTTAGTTCCTGTCATTTATTAACTAACTTAACTCTGAGTTCACTTCAACATCTATAAAATGGGCAGAGTAATATTACACTTGACTATTAAATCAATGCTATCTTAGGTTTGAAGTTAAATTTCTGTACTAAGCAGGCTCTATGGAGTGTTTTTAAGCAGAACTTACTTTCTGGGGTGTGTTCTGTGTGCTCTCTGAGAGTGACATGGGGAGAATATTTTTGTAGATGGAAGGCTGGCTTTTGTCTCTATGGAAAAATATTTGGTCTTTGTCCCCAGTTCCTGGCACAGAACTCCTTGGAATCTCCTGAGCGATAAGAGTGTCTTTGGTATGCTAATGAGACAACTCTTGGCTCAGGGACTCCTAGATAGCTTCAGGGCTAGTTGCCAGAAAGACCAAGCAGTGATTAGAAAATGGGAACTTTTAGCCCCGCCCCAACCCCCCATCCTCCAGGTGTTGGAGGTTGAACCAATCACCAATGACCAATGATTCAATTAATCCAACCTATGTAATGAAACCCCCATAAAAAAAAAAAACTAAAAAGACAGGGTTCAGAGAGCTTTGGGGTTGGTGAACAAGAACACATCCGTGTTCCAGGAGGGTGAAGCACCCCAGACTCCCCAGGGACAGCAGCTCCTGTGCTCAGGACCCTTCTGGCCCTGGCCCTATATACTTCTTCATCTAGCTGTTCATTCTTATCCTTTGTTAAAAGGAGGGGGGGTAATCTAGTAAGTAACCTGTTTTCCTGAATTCTGTGAGCTGCTCTAGAAAATTCATTGAAACTGAGGAGAGGGCCAAGGGAGCCCCTCTGATTTATAGCCAGTCAGTCAGAAGCATAGGAGACAATCTGGACTTGCAATTGGTTTCTGAAGTGGGACAGGGGTGGTCTTGTGGGACTGAACCCTTAACCTGTGGGATCTGACACTATATCCAGGTAGATAGTATCAGAACTAAGTTGAATTGCAGGACATCCAGCTGGTAGCCAGAAAATGTGAGAATCATTTAGTGTGAGGGAACACACAGAAGCACATTTGGAGGCCAGAGGTATCAGAAATAGTTTTAAATGTTGTGTGAGGTTAAAGGGGAGATGCATAGGGGGGAGTGAGATTTTCTTTAGACCCACAAAGCCTAAAATATTTACTATATGGCGGGGCGCCTGGGTGGCTCAGTCATTAAGTGTCGGCCTTCGGCTCAGGTCATGATCCCAGCGTCCTGGGATCCAGCCCCACATCGGGCTCCCTGCTCCGCGCGCGGGAAGCCTGCTTCTCCCTCTCCCACTCCCCCTGCTTATGTTCCCTCTCTCGCTGTGTGTCTCTTTCTGTCAAATAAATAAAATAAAATAAAATAAAATAAAATAAAATAAAATAAAATAAAATAAAATAAAATAATCCTACAAGTTTGAGCTGCTGTGTTTCAAATGCAAGTTAACAAACACGTAGATAATGATCAGTAACTCCAAGGAAAATCAAGATGCACTTCAAAGTCCTCAGATCCTGTTTGTTTTCTGCATCTCAGAAGAAGTATAGGTTTTCTAACACGGTTGCCCGGCATGTAAAGCCCGGGTTCTCGAAAGAGAGAAGGTCAGTGATATGGGAGTGGCTTGAACATTGAGGGGTGTTTAGCTGCATCCTTGCTTCCACCACTAGATGCCAGTAGCACCCCACCCAAACTCAGCTATGACATCCGATCATTCATTGAGAACCCCTGCTCAAAAAAAAAAAAAAAAAAATTAATTGAAGACAGGTAAGGCGTCTGAGAGAAAACCAGTTATTTACGCCCATGGTTCAAACATCAACGTGTACAGGAGAATGAAAATATTGAACTTCACCTTTGCTGCCAGAAAACCCAAAGGAGAGGGAGAGGAAGAAGCAGACTCTTCACTGAGCGAGGAACCCAACATGGGGCTCGATCCCAGGACCCCAAGATCATGACCTGAGCTGAAGGTAGACACTCAACCAACTGAGCCACCCAGGCACCCCATGGGAGAGATTTGAGCAGAGGACTGACATCATCCAATTTAAGCTTTCCAAAGGATTGCTCTGATGGTTGGGTTCAGTATGGATAAGGGTTTCTTATCCACAGGCAGACCAGACAGGAGATATTACAATCTGGTAGAGTTGAAGGAGGCTTGAACCAAAAAGATAGTAGTGTAGATGGTGAGAACTGGGCTGATTCTGGATATATTTTTTAAGTAGACCATTGATATTTGCTGAGGTTTGGGGTGTGAGAGAAAGAAAGGAGTCAAGAAGGACTCAAAAGTTTTTTGACTTGAATTGTTTGTTAAGAGTTGCCATTTTCAGGCACCTGGGTGGCTCTGTCGTTAAGCATCTGCCTTTCGCTCAGGTCATGATCCCAGGGTTCTGGGATCGAGCCCCACATCGGGCTCTCTGTTCAGCAGGAAGCCCCTGCTTCTCCCTCTCCCACACCCCCTGCTTGTGTTCCCTCTCTCGCTGTCTCTCTCTCTGTCAAATAAATAAATAAAATCTTAAAAAAAAAGAAGAGTCGCCATTTTCTGAGATGAGGAAATTGTGGAGCTTAAGAGCTGGGAGTGGACTTAGTTAAAATTTTTTAGTGAACTATAGTATACATATAACTGGATGAGTTTTCACAAACTGGTCACACCCACGTTATCAGCATCCATCCAGATCAAGAACTAGAACTCTATCAGCATCCAGGAAGCCCTCTGTTTCCCTAGCAATCAAGGTCTCCCAGCCCCCTGGGTCCCTGGGTAATCACAGTCTGATATCTAACAGTACACCTTTCTTGGCTTGCTTTGTACTTTGTGTATCAGGGAATACACTATGTCCTCATTTGTGTCTGGCTTTTTTACCCAACTCATTATGTTTGTGATAGTCCATCCAGAATGTTACGTATAGTGGCACTTTGTTCATTCATGGTGTGTGAATATGTTACAATTTATTCATTCTTCTGTTAATGGGCACTGGTATAGTTTCCAAATTTGGGCTACTAATAACAATGCTGCTGTGAATATTTTTGCACCTGTCTTTTGTTGAGAAGTGGAATTTCTTTCTAGGTTATAGGATATGCATTTGTACAGCTGTAGCAGATTCTACTAGTTTTCCAATATGACTAGACCAAATCGCCCTCCCATCAGCAACATGAGTTCTACTTCTTCCATAGCCTCACTAATGCTTAGTATTTTCAGTCTTCTTATACCCATTCTGTTGAGGGAGTAGTGGTATCTCATTGTGGTAACCTACTTAGCACTTCCCTAACAGAGTCGAGAACCTTTTCCTACATTTATTGGCCATTCGGATATCCTGTTTTGTGATGTGTCCAGATTTATTTTTTTGCCTATTTTTAAATTGAGTTGACTTTTTCTTGTCAATTTGTAAAAGTTCTTTACATAGTCTACATATCAATTATTTTGTAGATATATGTTTTTCTTCCACTTCATGGGTTGCTTTTTCACTATCAATGATGTTTGTTTGTTTGTTTGTTTTTTAAGTAGGCTCCATGTGGAGCCCAATGTGGGGCTTAAACTCACAACCCTGAGATCAAGACCTGAGCTAAGATCAAGAGTCAGACACTAAACCGACTGAGCCACCCAGGCACCCCAATGATTTTTTTTATGTTCACCCAATCATGTCTTTTAAACTTTTTTTAAAGATTTTTATTTATTTATTTGTCAGAGAGAGAGAGAGAGCACAAGCAGGGGGAGCAGCAAAGGGAGAGGGAGAAGCTGGCTCCTCACTGAGCAAGGAGCCCGATGTGGGACTCGATCCCAGCACCCTGGGATCATGACCTGAGCCAAAGGCAGACGCTTAACGACTGAGCCACCAAGGCGTCCCCACCCAATCATGTCTTTTGATGAGCAGTTCTCAATTTTTTTTGAGCCGTTCTTAATTGTAATGCATTCCAGTTTATCAAATCTTTCTTTCTTTTGCCTCCTATTTAAGAAATAGCTGCCTATTCCAAAATATGAAGTCACATTTTTCTCTATGTTTTTTGTTTCACCTCTCACATTTATTTCTACATTCGTTCTAGATTGATTTTGATTTTTTTTTTAAAGATTTTATTTATTTATTTGAGAGAGAGAATGAGAGATAGAGAGCACGAGAGGGAAGAGGGTCAGAGGGAGAAGCAGACTCCCCGCCGAGCAGGGAGCCCGATGCGGGACTCGATCCCGGGACTCCGGGATCATGACCTGAGCTGAAGGCAGTCGCTTAACCAACTGAGCCACCCAGGCGCCCCGATTGATTTTGATTTTTATGTGTAGTATGAGAATGGATACCCCTTTACTGAAAAGAGTGTCCCTTGCCCCACTGCAGTCATTGCCATAATACACTAGGTGGCGCTGTTCTGCATCGTTCAGGGTTTTACTCTTGCATCAGTCCCAAAGGAGGGGTTGAATGCTATTTACACAAAGTTCAGAAACCAGGAAAACTCTCCTATGATGTGTAGGAGAGGGTGAAAAAAATCTTCCCTTCTACCCTTCTAGGTTTTTGGTTGGGGTTCTGTAACAAAAGGCAGATTAACAGGAAAAAACATGCAAACGTATTTAAGTTTTACTTGGCACCGGACCCTTTATAAGGAAAGGAAAACACAAAGTTGTTAACCTAGACATTTTTATGCTAGGTTTGATGAAGAGTAGAAAGTAGTGGGAAAATGTGATAGGACAATGGGATATGAGTTTAAGTGTCGTAAACTGAGGGAAATTTAGCGATTCCATTCATTTGGATTCCTCTCTGTGTCCCTCCACCTTCAGAGATAAGGATGCTTCTTTCCTTTGGGTATAGAAAGGACATCTATCACCTGAGCATCTTAGGGCCTGCTTCAGGGGAAGGTAAGAGAGTTCTTCCAGAACCTGCCATTTCTCAAACTCCTTCAACTTAACATATTCAATATGCTAAGGTGCCATATTTTAGGGCAGCTGAATTCTGAACCCTGTCAGATGTTACAAGAATTCATAAGCTTTTTCTTGGAGGATGAGAGGTTGTAGTGACCAGGAGAACCATGAAAGAGGCTTCCGGGTTCCTGGTAATTTTCTTTGTAAAAAACCTGGGTAGCAAAAAAATTAAAAAGTAAAAAATAAATAAAAACAAAATAAAAAATAAAAAAACTGAGTAGCAATTGCATGGGCATGTACCCTTTATGGACATTTTGATGATTTGTGCATAGATGTGATCACTTTTAAAATTTATTCACAAAAAAAAATAAAAAATAAAATAAAATTTATTCACAGACTCTGCATGTTTGTTATATTTCAACAAACAGTTTGAAAATAAATATATAAAAGTCCACTTTATTGCTTTCCAGCTTGTCTAGGCAGTGTGAATGACTGACTAAAAGCCATTTACAGAAATAAGGGGATGTTTACCAGTATAAACTCATCATTTGTGAAGATTAATAAAAGGAAATCTCGTCAGAATGGAGTCTGGAAGGTGAGGAACCGGGGGACGAGGGGCGGGGGGTGCTCTCAGCCCTACCACTGGTTGCCAATTGCAGACCAAACTGGAAGACAGGCATCTTGCAAGTAGATACCACTTTACTACCCCAGCAAGAGGATGAAATGTTTTCTCCTCTCTTGGCAACAGCCCAGCCAATGAGAGACTGTCACCATTCAGCCAATGAAAAGCCACTATACTTCAATCTACCAGTTTATTCCAACGGACTTTTTGTTTACGACAGCCTTCTCAACTGCTGCTTTCTTTTATCAAAGAGCATTCGTCTCCTTTGTTCTGTGGACTCCTTAGCTTGCTTGTCCTGGGTTGCAATTCTCTGCTATTCCCACATAAATCTTTTTTTTATTTATTTTGCTGGCAAAATAACTGGCAGTTTCATTTTTAAGGTTAACATAATATTTTATCTCTCTACAATAAGCATATCTTTATATAGAAATACAATGTGCATGAAGTTTTTCCAACCTTCAGAGTACTATTCTCCTTAACAACTTCCCACTGAGGAGTATTGCAGAATTTTCCTACTCTTAATTTTGAAGAGTTAACTGAGTGATATTTTTCCCTTTCATTCATTCCACCAATTAATCCTTGTGAATTTACTGGGATTCAGCATTGATTAGACAAACTCTGATCCTGACCCAGCATTGTTTACTAATTTTAAATACTCAATTTCTGTTTTTATGCCCCCCCGGGTCCTGCCTGAGTACTAAGTCAGTCTTTTCCCTCTTTTCCTCCTCTGTGCTGGCTCCAGATCTTTAAGATGTGACCCTTTCCCCTCTCTGGAGTTTCCCAGTCTTGACCCCAAGCACCCACTGCCCTAGGTCTTTCCGTTTTTGCTCACCTCTCTGCAGTGGGCTTGTTCTGTCCGCTTCTTGTCCCTGTAAAGAGTAATTAGAATTACTTACTTTTCCCATTTGAGTCTCACAACAATTTAGGAGGTAGCTCATTTATACAGAAGGGACAGGCTATAAGCAATATACTGAAGTTGCCTGTCTTGGTGGAGTTGGAATTAGAACTCGTGCTAGGAAGGAGGAATGGATGGCTCCTGCATTCTTCCTGTGCTCACCTTGCCCAGATAAACGCCTTCACTTGGAAGCTGGGCCTCCTAACTTTTTGGCTGAGGTATTGTAAAAGAGGACCACAAAACGCTGACCCGGATTTTTCCAAGCCCCGCCATAACCTCTCTTGACTCAGGAGCAAGGAAAACATTTTTTTTTTTTTTTTTTTTTTTTTGGCAAAGTGATCAGACTGGGTTGACGGTCAAAGTAGAACTGAATATTCCCTGTTGGATAGATGCGACAAACCAAAGAGTTGAGGGTGTCGTCAGGCTTTACAGTGGACAAGTGGAAAGATGGGGTTGCTATTACTTGAGGTTGAGAGGGTGAAGTCAGTTGTTTGATTTGTGGCATTTTAAAGTGTCTATAAAATAGCCAAGTGGAGAGAGCAAGTCTCATACCGCCTGGAATCCAGGGTAGACCTGTGGGGCTGTGGATGGAAATTTGAGCCTTGAGTACATAAACAATACTTAAAACGGTGAGACTCGCCGCTACCACAGAGAGAACGATGAGAAGACGAAAAGAAACCTGAGAACTGAGTCCTGGGGACCTGCAACAATTGGAAGTCGGGAAATGTGGCTCGCCAGACTCCACCGGGGAGCCACCCCATGACCGTCTAAACTCGAGAACTACATTTCCCAGAATCCTTTCCGCCCCGTGCTTCCGAGTTAGAGGCCGCCAATGAAGCCCCGCGAGATTTAGAAGGCGGAAGTGAAGCGGAAGCCATTGCTCCCGGGAGGTGATTGCGGCTATACACATGGGCAGGGGAGGGGTGCGGCTTCCTCTGGACTGTTGGGGACCCTTCGCTTTCCTGCCGCAGACCGGACGTGCTGCATGAATTTGGTGTCCCTTCAGCGGCAGCTTCCGTGACCTCCATTCCACCCGGTTCTACCTTCAGCCTTGTAAGCCCTGCTCTCCTCACTTAACCCTTTACCCTCGGTCTTCCCGAGGACACGAAAGGCCCACAGGCAGGGAGGAGTAAATGGGGACAGGGACCTGGGACCGGGAAGCCAGGCAGCCAGGCGAGGAGTCTGCTTTAGACTCTGTGATCGGCGATATGAAACGCTGGTACGCGAGGAGTGAAATTTAGGACCACTGTGTTGAGGACAAGGGGAAGGCAATGGTGATCTGGTTTTTTAAAAAATGGACTCTTGGGGTGGGAGGGGAAAGCCGGGCCGAGGTGAATTCAGGACATGGTGGGGTCAGGAATGGGAGACCGCGAGGATAATACCTTTTGCTCTGCGGTCCATTTTCTCCAACATTAGTGGAGGCACACTGGCTTTCTGTTAACATTTGTATTGAATTTTAAATTTTATATTTAAAGTTTTCGGTGCACTTACCTGTTAGTTTAGTTGACTCGTGTAAACAGCCTATAACTAGATTTGATAGTTCACTTCAAAAAAAAGTTCACTTCAACCTTCTGTTAATTTAACTTGAGAGTTAGCCCATTAATATTTATTGTGATTACTAAAATTTTGCAGTTTTTACCATCTTACTGTGCTTGGTTATTTATCCTTTAAATTTCAAGTATTTTTTAATTGGAATATAAAACATGCCAAAAAAGATACGGGAACACACACGCATTCTCTTTGCAAAAAAAGTATGGAAACACACACACTCTTAAAAGGACAGCAATAAAGCGAATCTGCAAACCAGGCCCAGAAAGATCCTACGAAATCACTAGAAACTACGTGGTCTTTCCTGCATCCTCCGCTTTCCCCATGAATTCTTTTATGGACTTTACTGCTTATACGTTTTTCCCCAAAATTTATATCCTAGTCTGGGTAATTATTTGTGAATGGACTCACACTCTTCAGTACTTTCAGAGACATCCTTTTTTCCGTTAATGCAAGCACACTTTGATATTTAGAGATTTCTAAATATCTTGTAGTTGAAGTACATACACTTAGCCATTTTTCAGGCACTTCATGGCTTAAATTTTAGAGTCAGTTTACAAAGTTCCACCTACTGGAGTTTTATTTTGAAGTTGTGTTGAATCTGTATATGAACTTGGATAATATTGGCATAATTCCATTGTATCTTATAATGAATATTATGTCTATGTACTTATATATTTTGTAATGCCTTTGAGTAAAGTTTTAAAAGATTTAGGGTGTTGTTTTTTTTTTGAGATTTTATTTATTTGATTGGCAGCGTGCCCATGAGTTGGGGGAGGGGCAGAGGGAGAGGGAAAAGACAACTCCGGGCTGAGCAGGGCGCTCCCGAAGATGGCTTGAGCCCAGGACCTCAGGATCATGACCTGAGCCGAAGGCGGACGCTTAACCAACTGAGCTACCTTGGTGCCCCTAGGGTGTGTGTGTGTGTGTGTGTGTGTGTGTGTGTGTGTGAGTGAGAGTGAGTGTGAGAGAAAGAGAGAGAAAGTTTTGAGAGTTTTGTTGTTGTTAGATTTATTCCTAGGAACTTTTTTTTAGTGTTTAGGAATTTTTTTTCCCCAACGGCTTGGTGTATTGAATTTGGGTTAGTTTTTGTGTAGTATTTTGAATGTTCTTCAGAGACAGTGTTATCATCTGTAGAGAATAAATAGGTAAATTTTTTTATTTTCCATTTGCATCTTTCATGTTTTATTTACTTAACTTCACTGGACAGGCTGGGGCCTCCTGGTAGCATTGAATGGAGTTTGGATGGCAAACTTTAGGCAGTCCTTTTTTTTTTTTTTTCTTTGCCTTTAAGGGAATTGACCTTATGTTTGCTGGAGGCTCTTTTTTTAAGATAGTAAAGGAAGCTCCCTTCTTGTCCTAGTTTTAAAGAGTTTTTCCTCTTGAACAGTTCAGGTTTTTAACAAGTGATTTTTTTTTTCCTTTCAGCATCTACTGTGATATGTTTCTTTTGTGTATCTCAAGCTCTGTAAACAATGGCTGGCTTATGGTAGGTGCTACTACTGTTGTGCATTGAATGAATGGGTGAATAATATGCTTTTCTTGTTTATCTGATATTGTTGCAAACTAAACCAATTGATTTTCTAATGACTCACTACATTTGCTTTGGTAAATAACTAACTTGAAAAGGATAAGGCACTATTGTGTCATTTTTGGCTTTTATCTGCTAGTGCGTTGGTTATTTGGATCTGTGTTTGAGTAAAATTGGCTTGCGATCTTCCTTTTCTGTTTCAAATTTATGCCAGCCTCATAAAATGGGGTGGGAATGTTCTCTCTGTTTTCTAAACTCTGGAATATTTTGCCTAAGAATAGAATCACTTTTTCCTTAAAAGGGAGTTGTGCCAGAACCATTTGGGTCTGGAGTTTTCTTTGTGGAAATTTTTTGAGCTGTTGTTTCAGTTCCTTTAAGGGTCACAGTGATGTGAGAAAGATGTTAGGGTTTGAAGCCAGTGGCCAAGAAAGAATTCTTGAGACGTCTTTGGTGCAAAGAGGTAGTTTTACTGAAGCATGGGGACAGGACCCCCGGACAGAGAGAGCTGCACTGGGGTCATGAGGAGTGGGCCATGATCTACTTTCAGGTTGGATAGCGTAAGCCTCCCGGGTATTGTGGAAACCTTGTTTCCAGGATCCTGAGGTGTCTACCTATCGTTAGGAAAAGGTCATTTATTATTGTTTAGTAAACCCTCAGTCATGAGACCCTTCAAATGTGTATTGGTGGGTCATATGCTTGGAGGATGATTGCCAACATGTATCTTGGGGAATAAAGGAGATAAAGGAAATTTCCAAGGGAATTTTTATTTTTATTTATTTATTTTTAAGATTTTATTTATTTGAGAGAGAGAGAAAGAGAGAGAGCACGAGAGGGAGGAGAGTCAGAGGGAGAAGCCGACTCCCCGCCGAGCAGGGAGCCTGATGCAGGACTCGATCCCGGGACTCCAGGATCATGACCTGAGCCGAAGGCAGTCGCCCAACCGACTGAGCCACCCAGGCGCCCCCAAAGGAATTTTTATATGTTGAAGTAGACTTAACAGGATCCTGGCGGTCAGGCCTGAGATTGCCTTTTGCCCTAAGCAAAGTATTAACATCAAGACAGCTGAGTTTCAAGGTCTTGTCAAGGGGCTGTAATTGTAGGGAAATTTAATAATTTTTTTCTTCTGCCTTTGTTTCCCATATCAATAGGGCATCTAAGTTCTTTATTTCATTATGGTGAGTAAAATTTCTTTAGGAACTTAATTCATTCCTTCTAGGGTTTAAATTGTATAGTCAAAGTTAATAAAGTTCTTATATTTTCAATGCCTGTCACATCTGTATTGTAATCTGGTTTTTCATTCTTATATTTTCCTTTTTAAAAAAAATAAAATAGGGGGGCGCCTGGGTGGCTCGGTTGGTTAGGCGACTGCCTTCGGCTCAGGTCATGATCCTGGAGTCCCGGGATCGAGTCCCACATCGGGCTTCCTGCTCAGCGGGGAGTCTGCTTCTCCCTCTGACCCTCTTCCCTCTCGTGCTTTCTATCTCTCGTTCTCTCTCTCTCTCAAATAAATAAATAAAAAATCTTAAAAAAATAAAATAAAATAAAATAAAATAAAATAGGGCTCCTGGGTGGCTCAGTTGGTTAAGCGACTGCCTTCGGCTCAGGTCATGATCCTGGAGTCCCAGGATCGGGTCCCTCATCGGGCTCCCTGCTCGGCGGGGAGTCTGCTTCTCCCTCTGACCCTCTTCCCTCTCGTGCTCTCTATCTCTCATTCTCTCTCTCTCAAATAAATAAATAAATAATCTTAAAAAAAAAAAGACAACTTATAAAAAAATAAAATAAATTCTGCCAAAATTTTGTCAGTTTTGTTTTTCTTAGAGAACTTTTGGTTTGATTGAGCCACTTCACAATATGAATGTCTTCTTCTGTTTTGTAACTCTGTTCTTTATAGTTTTCCTCCTTTTACTTTTTTGGGATGTCTCTTTCCAGTTTCTTACATTGGGCACCTGTCACATTCCAAAGAATGTGGTATCTTGTTATATTTCAGTTCTAAATATTGAATATTATGACTTCTTTGACACGTGAATTATTTAGGGTTGTTTTTTCTTTCTTTTTTTTTTTCTTTACTATCCATTCCTGTGACATTTTTCTGGTTATCTTTTGGGCATTGTTTGGTAATTTCCTGGCCCTGTTTTCAGAGAGAGATGCCATTTTCTGAGACACAGTGTGCCTTTGTGGTTGGGTTTTATAGTAGCTAGGGGATGTGATTTCATCTTGTTCAGTCTGCATGTAATTATTGACTTGTCTGCTTGAACTATATTAGTGAGATCTCTGGTGGTGGCTTTGTCCATTCTCCTCAGAGTTCTGTCCTTCTTTATTTTTTTCATGTGTTTGAGGATGTGAAAACATACATACAGCTTTTTCTTGAATTCATTCTGGAATACCTCAGTTTTCTCTAAGAACCTTTCTACCTTAATCCTTTCTGTCTGGTACTAACATATTTAAACCAGCTTTAAAAAAAAAATTTTATTTATTTATTTGACAGAGAACACAAGCAGGGGGAGCAGCAGGAAGGGGCAGAAGCAGGCTCCCCGCTGAGCAGGGAGCCCGGTGCCAGGCTTGAACCCAGAACCCTGGGATCATGACCTGAGCCAAAGAGAGACGCTTAACCAACTGAGCCACCCAGGCACCCTTTTCTGTACTTTTTTTTTTTTTTTTAAGATTTTAGTTAGTTATTTTATAGAGCATGCAACCAGTGGGAGGGAGAAGGACAAGCAGACTCCATGCTGAGTGCAGAGCCTGACACAGGGCTCCGCTCGACCCCAGGACCCTGAGATCATGACCTGAGCTGAAATCTAGACTCAGATGCTTAACCAACTGAGCCACCCAGGCACCCCTTTCTCCTTACTTTTTGAATTTATTTATGTATTTATTTACCCTGAAGAGGTTGGATTAGAAGGGAGGGCAGACATCTCTGTCCTTGTTTGTAATAGGAGTGGAGGAGAGTATCAGAGATCCGTTTTGGGAGGAATTT